CAAACTGTTAGACCAGATCTGAATTCAGATCCCCCCAGAGAAAAAAGAAAAGAGGGTAACAGGAAGATCCCTGGAGCTTGCTGACAACCCATTCTAACCAATCAATGGGCACCAGATCTACAGAAAGACTGTCAAGAGAAAAAAAAAATGGGTAAGGTAGGCCTTACCATCCAAACCTACAACATATTCAACTATTCACACAAAGTAAAGACTTATTCCCAAAATGAAAGAGTCCTACCTTTTATTATTAGTGCTAGAGTACCCATGCAAAGAAAAAAAAAAAGTCACTGCCTTAGAACTCCTACCTTATATTTAAGCCAGTACTTCTATCTGCTAACACCTGAAGGTAAACTTCATGGAAGCACTTCATGTATCCCAACTTAGTTTCACAATCAACACAAATCTTAAAGTATGTCCTGCACTGTGGATGTCTGTAGCCCCAGCACCTGAGAGGTCAAGGAAGATTGATGCAAGTCTGCAGTCTGTCTACTTTAGAGTGAAATTTGTCTCAAAACAAAATCGTAAAATTTCCAGTAATGTTTTTCTAACATATTTAGCACTGTACAACACTAACCTTATAAAATCTTCAAAAACAGTAAAAAAGAATTTCTAAATGTTTTTAGAACATTTCAGAATTTTCAAACATTTCAGTTTGTGTCTTCAGATTTCTCTTTCACAAGTAATTTTCAAACATAAAAGGATTAAATCCAAAATTTGTTTTGTGTTAAGCACTGAGCACCAACCCCAGCCCTCTCTTTTTAACCTCTCTAAAGTTCACAAAACATTTTATTCATAATAGGATATCCATGATCTCTCTCATAAACACAAACACACACACACACACACACACCCCACACAGGAAGAGAGAAACAAATACACAAAACTTAAAAATAAATCCTAAGAGTACTTGCCTAAGCATGTGTCAGGCCCCCAGCATTAAATAAACAAACACATCACATTAACACAAATGAACATTTTATCAAAAGCTACTTGCCAAACAAAAGTCTTTTAAAGAGAAAACAAGCTAGGCATAGCGGTACAGTCTGTAATCCCACACTTAGAAGGCAGAGGCAGAAGGATCAATGCTGTAAATTTTAAAGACCAGTGTGTACTGGCCAGCACTCTGGAAGCAGAGGCAAGTGGATCTCTATGAGTTCAAGGCCAGTCTGGTCTACAGAGTGAGTTCTAGGACAGCTAGGGCTACACAGAGAAACTCTGTCTCAAAACAAAACAAGTCCAGCCTGGTCTACACAGCAAGAACCATTTACAGCTAGGAGTACAAAACACAAAAAGGGAAAATGCACTTTATATTTTTGCAAATCCTTGACTACCTGAAGAAAGAATACAGAATCTCAGATCAGATTCTATATTCAACTGCTAGTGATATGAGGTCTGGAAAAAAAAAGGAATAATTTAAGAGCCTTTCAGCTAACTGTAGGTATTCTTTGATACTACCCCAAACTTGACAAGTAGCAGTCTTTTTATTTTCTTCTTCTTCTTCTTCTTTTGTTTTTCTTCAAGATAAGGTTTCTCTATGTAGCTTTGGCTGTTCTGAAATTCGCTCTATAGACCACACTGGCCTCAAACTCAGATCCACCTACTGCTGCCTCCCAAGTGCTGGGATTAAAGGCATGCACCACCAGCCTCTTAAAAGTCAGTGTTAATATAGAATCTTAAACACTGTCAGTAAGCTTTCCATGCTCTATTGACCTATCCTGCCATTTAAATGGTTTGTAACACTGTAAACTGCTCATGTAAGAACCACGGGTTCACTCAGCTCTTCTAAAGACTTCCAAGTGTCAGGCATCCAATTCTATTTTTAAAATCTTTATCACACACACAAAAAAAATCTTTATCACTACCACCCATAGCAGCAGAAAAAATATAAACTTACATAGTAAATCTGAGCCAAAGAAAAAACTTCCAATTTCTCCTGGAAATCCTCAATTTTACACCGAAAAGTTATTTGCCAGTCAGATACTTCTATTCTTACGAAAACATATCACTTCATTTTTGAAGTATCAAAAACTAGTTTTGAGGATGAAGAAATGGTTCAGTGGTTAAGAGCACTTGGCTACTCTTCCAGAGGACCCAAGTTCAATTTCAGTATCCACCACGTAGCTCACAATCATCTGCAATTCCAGTTACAGGGAATCCAATATTCTTTTCTAGCCTCTGTGGGCACCATACATGCTACATAGTACACAAATATACATGTAGGAAAAACACCTAAACACACTGAGTTATCATTTTCACCCAACTAAAATATCAAAAGTGAAAAAAGTAGTCAATAGTAAGTACTGATGGAGGTGCAGAGAAACTGGAACCCTCATGCATAAAACATAAAAACAGTATGTTTATACACGTTCTCTCTCATACACAGGCAGGCAAGCACACAGACACATGCACACGCACATACACACACACACGCTCATAACAGCATGATTCACAATAACAAAAAAACAGAAACCCAATGACCACTAACAAACAAGTTTTAATATATCCCTCCATGGACTATTAGTCATAAAATGAAGTAACTTATACATCTAAACATGGATGAACCTTGAAAATACCATTAGATGAAAGTGAGGCACAAGAGGTCACTAATATGAAACGAAAAGCAAATTAAGGGATTGAACGTAGGTAAGGTAAGTGAGAAGTGGCTGACAGAGACTAAGTATGGGTTGCTTGGGTGATGAAAATGCTCCAAAAATAGCGAGATTATAGTTGCACAAGCCTGTGACCACACTGAAAACTATTGAACTGTACTCTTTACAAGTTTTGTATGTGGATTATACTTCAATAAAGCTATTATTTTTAAGCACTTAAGATGAATTTTAAGCACCTGAATTTGATCCCAGTTCCCACAAGCAGAAAGAGAACCAGCCTCTTCTGAATCAATGTGCACAACAGCATACACATACACATAAACCATACACATACACATACACATAAACCAGCATTCACACACATGGAATTTCTATAAAAGGCTGCTACTTTTAAAAGTTACGCAACACGTAAGAGTCAAAATTTTGTAAACGTGACTGACTTATCAAGCAGGTTTTCAGTGAGATTGTAATTTTACTTAACTAGAAATATATAATCATGAAGAATAGAAATACTTGTACAGTTTTAAAGGTTTTTTCCTTTCTTTTAATATGTGTATGTGTGTTTACATGGACAGGGGTATATGCAAGTGCTTGCAGAAGCCAGGATAAGGTGTAAGATTCAGGTTTAGGAAATGGAGTTACACATGTTGTGAGCTACCCAACAAGATGGGATCAGAACTGGTCCTCATATTGAGTTACAAATGTTTTTAACCACTGAGTCATCTCTCCAGCCTTGAGTTTAAAATCTGATCAGTCACTGCGAACACAGGGGGAAAAAAAAAAAAAGCAAGTAACATCTTTGTATTATTAGAAAAAGGATTCCTCAAAGGATCCTCAGGCTCTCTAGAGGCCTACAGATAAACTCTGAAAATCCCTACTCTAAGTCAGGTGGTGGCACACTGGCACACACACCTTTAACCTCAGCACTCAGAAAGGAGTTTAGGGCCAGCCTGGTCTACAGAGGGAGTTTCAGGACAGCCAGACTACAGAGAAACTCTATCTCAAAAGACCAAAAAAAAATAAGGGTGGGGGGAGCCTATTCTCAATCAGTTTCAGAAACCCCAGATACTATAAAGAATTTCCAAATGCAAGTATGAGAATCAAGGACACATATCTAAATTTCTAAGAAAAGGTAAGAGAGAAAATGGGGAGGAAAGAATAATTAAAAGTTGATGGTGGGGGGTAGGGCAGTTTTTAGTCCCAGCACTTGGGAGGCAGAGGCAGGCGGATCTCTCTTTAAGTTTCAGGCCACCTGATCTACATAGCTAGTTCTAGGACAGTCAGAGCTACACAGAGAAACTCTGTCTCAAAAAACAAAACAAACAGTAAAAATTGGTACATTTAAAAAAAAAAGCGTAGATGGATGTTCCTTCAATCACTTCAATTCTGTAACCCAATTTAAGACTTTAGATCAAACAGACTGTAAAGTTTTAACAGTATAATCTCCTCAGAAATGCAAATGTAAACTAGAAGAATTAAAGTTATAAAAGTCAGGAATTAGTATAAAACAAAAATATTCAACGTTATCTAGACAAATAACATTGTCTAGATGTTAACAATTCTACATTTTAAGCTTCATTATTTCATCATGCTTGCAAAACATTCAATGAGTAGACTTAAAACCTCTACAATCTATACCTATCGATAGCTATTTCTAACTCAGCCAAATTTAAGGGCCTCTATCACAAAAATCAAAATGCAAGCTCTTGCCAGTATCCACCTAGTTTTCTAGTCTTAACATTTTATACAATGAAGACATTGAATTTGCCAGAGAAAAACACCCAGAACCACATATCTAGTGGCTGAGACTGTTAAGTATTCTTAACTTCTAGCGCCATGTTTTATTATGCCAACCTAATACTCCATCTAAATACCATATATACAATGTGTAACTCAGCCAGACTTGGTGGCACACATCTTGAATAACAGCACTGGGGAATACAGAAGGAGGTAAATCTCTGAGTTAAAAGTCAGCTTGGTCTACATAGCAATTTCTAGGCCAGTCTTGGGCTAGCTACAATATCCCGCCCTGCTCCCTGAAGTCAAACTCATCCCATACCAAGAACAATGAAGACACTCTCCTGCTCTCCCCAACCCCCCAAAAACATATGATGCCCGATAATATTAATCAGAAGCCAAAACCCAAAACAAGTATGTACCTGTTTGGCGGGGGTGGGGTGGGGGGTGAGGGGGTTACTGGTACAACAGAAAATCTTTCACTTCAACTATTACAAAGTTTCAAAAAGAACAATTTGGGAGATACTATGATGCCTCCTTATATATACATACAAGGATGTCACCTTTAATGAATGCCAGATGCTGATAAACAACTAAAGCAAAGTTTCCTATACATTATCATTGTACTTCTTACGGCATATTATTAAAACTCACCTGCAGGACTGTCAGCATTCTCTCCTGGATGTAGCTGTATACCAGTAGAATCTATAGAATTTACTGTAACTGTCTGTAGATTTGGCAACTGACCAGTGCTTAGACTAACTGGAGTTGAAGTCAACGCTCCACCTGCTGCGACTTGACCAAGCGTGAGTGTCTGAACAGGCGTCAAAGTTATTTGCTGGGCAGCAGTATTCTGTATTTGCAAATTCTGCAAGTTCTGTACCCCTTGTACTTGAAAGGTTTGCCAGGTTATCTGTCCAGAAGGGGTCACTGTCTGTGCCTGAATTAAAAAGGTTCCAGGATTCAGCTGCAACTGAAGGTTTTGTAAAGCCTGTTGTGATATATTTTGACCACTGGCTTGCACACCATGGATTGTCTGTGGTGTAATACCTTGCACAATTTGGGCTTGACTGGTTGGTTGCTGAGAATCTTGAAGTTGTAGATGTTGTACAACAGGCTGTGCTGTAGAAACCTGAATATTCTGAGCCTGTGTCTCTTCAGAAACAGGCGACTGGATATAATTTCCCTGAAGATCTGAAGAATGGACTTGCCCACTAGAAGTAGTCAAGCTATTTGTGTTTTGTTGTAATATACCTGTACTATCTATCGTAACAGGTAACTGTGACGAAGAGGATGTTGGCACAAATAAATCTGTATCAGTATTAGTTTCATTAACATCAGGAGAAACCCGCTCACCAGTCCTTTCTGAATTGTCTGAACTATCCATAGCTTGTCCTGTGTTTATCAAATGTCCATCGGCATTAATGCCTGCAGTCATTGTCTGAGAACTTCCCGAGAGTCCCAAAGAATCTAGATCAACACTATTGATTGGTACAAAGGTAATATTTCCTGGCAGACCAAGAGGCACATTAGCAACTACTTGAGTTTGGCCAGGAAATGATGAACCACCAATTGCAACTCCCTGAACCTGGACTTGACCAGTCTGTGGTATGAGATTCTGAATATTAGCAGGAGGTGTTCCAGAGGCAAGTAAGGTTTGATTAGAGCCAGGAATGATCTGAATTTGACTGCTTTCTTGATTTATACCCCCATTATCTGAGGAGCCTGTGAAGCCAATCTGAACCTGCTGGGCATCTGTTGACTGAATCTGTGGTATTACTTGATACTGAACATTGGACACTGTACCATTTGATGAATCTGATCCTGGTGCAACTGAAAATATTTGTTGATTCTGTAAATTCTGAAGGGGAAGGACATACTGCCCACTTGAAGTAGCAGCACCTGGAATCTGTACTAGATTACCAGCTTCATCTTTTATAGTTGTAGGTGTGGCTGACAAAACCTCCCATCGGTTTGGTGCTCCTCCTAACTGTGCAGAAGCCAAATCACCTGTCTGGATGAAAAAAACAAAAATGTTGTGATGTATTTGTTATAGCTTAATCCAATTCCAAAAAATCCTCACCTAGTATAAATCCCACTATGTAAATATGAAAGCCATCTTAATAAAACAAGAGTTCAAATACAGAAGCAGCACTATACATACCATAGAGATTTTCACTTCTAGCTGTAAATTATGATGACCATAGTACATCCTATTTACATGGAGAAGTATCTTGATCAGAATATTCTAGATTATTTTACAACCACAGGTTTTGTTTGTTTGTTTTTGTTTTGGGGGGAGATGGGCAAGGTCTCACTATGTTGGCCAGACTTGTCTTGGAACTCACATAGCCACATGATTTTCAGTCTCAGTCAAAGCAGCTGGGAACTGGGGGTGGGGGTAGGTGAAGTATATGTATATATACATAGATAGATAGATAGATAGATAGATAGATAGATAGATAGATAGATAGA